CCAGTAACCGCACTTGTACTAGTAATCTCAGTCGCTATGAATTGTTACAAAAATGGTCAATTTCTACCCACATCATAAAACTATAAAGATATGTTGGATATCCCCCAAGTGGGTAACTTTAAGAGGTTGCCTGAATGTTTTTCTTTCTTTTATTTTCCAACTTTTCGTTTTGATTTTGCTAATAACTTGAAAAGGCCTCAATCAATGGGCTTGAAAATTTCTGTGTTTGTGCACGGTCACTAGGGCCAGATTCTTGGAACAGTCGGAATATACAGGCCCCCTGTAACCAAAGTTGTTGAACTCGTTACTAGTAACCTGGAATACCTCCGATAACTCCCATGAAAATTGCCTCCTAATTCGACGACGGTAGTGAGTGCAATTCAAGAGTGTCGGTGCAGATGTGACCATTTTGTGTGTAAAATTTGGTGATATTTTTATTTTTGGGTTAGGATCATTTTGTCTAATGTCCTGAATTGTACATAAGTGTCTTTTTCTAATAAATATTTGTTTACGTTTCAGGTAAGTGAGAAGTAAGATGCTCGTAGGACAATTGGCACACCAGCAATAAGGTAAGTCCATGTTTTGCTCCAGTTGTCATCGATGTTTTCCACCCTTCTGTTGACGTAGCCTAATTATGTAAATTAGGAATATTAGTGATACTCTAATGTAGGTAAAAGGATATATATATATATATATATATATTATATATATATATATATATATATATATATATATATATATATATATATATATATATATATATTCCGTTTATCCTTATAGGGAACTTAAGACCTCCCACCACCACAACGTTAAGAGTTCATCTATATCCTCCATTTTTCCCCAGTGGACATTGACATTGGTTACGGAGTGTAACTTACAATCCCTGGTTAAAGGTGTTGTACCCCTTTCTTCTATTATGTCTGTGAATTCCAATGACGGTAGTCTTCGTAGTAGGAAGCTGAGAGCGTAAAGCTTCTGCCGTTCAGAATTGTGATCTCCAAAATAATTTTCCCCACTATTCATTCGCTGGTATCTGCACGACAGTAGAGGTTGCAAGATTCTGTGCGAGACACAGGTAAGCTCACACCTTGAGTATGCTCCACTTTCTTGGATTGCCTCCCCTCTCCCTCCACATCTCATCCGTGACTTTTTGGCAGTATAAATAAAGAGCAGAGCACGACAACTATTTCTTTCCAGGTAATATAATTTCAGAGCTTTGAATCTATCTTTGTAGAAAAGATAGATTAAAAGCTCTGATTACCTGTTGTCAAACTTCTCTGTGTTTTCCTGTAAAATAAGAGTAAATTCACCTCGTAACCTAAAACAGTACTTGTACCTGCTCAGTTCTCTAGGAAATCGTTGTTTTAAGCGGAAATATCGGCTACGCTGGAAACAAATCTGACTAAAATAAACTTTAACGAAATATTTCTTGATGTAAAAACCTCTCTCAAAACCCAGGGTTTGTGAGAACTGTCAAGCTGCTGGTGTTTGAAAACGATATATATTTGTAATATCAATCCACAAATACAAGCCAGTTACAGGAATACATCCGTATTTCCATTTTTGTCTTGGTTGTCCGAGGATCGGACAACCATAACCATTTGTTCCTAGGTACTCCTGATGCCATCCTCTTCTCTCCCTTTGATCTGGTTCCGTGCAGGTGACACGCCACAAGGTCCAAGCTTGGGCTTCTCTGTTTTCGTCAAGGTTTTTATAATTACCGAGGTGCTCTTAGGGATTTCGGAGGCCTTTCTGCCGTCAAAGTTTATATAATTACCGAGGTACAAAACGGGCAGAGTGAGGGAATGGCCGATAGCCAGTCCGTGGAGGGGAGGTTGTTGAACCCGTGAGGGTAGGCCGTGTAGTGAGGCCGGATGCGCTCCGCATCTCACTGACCTAGGCAGGCCCAAAGAGGGCAACACCGTAGTGCCGCGGGATATGAATCTAGTAGACAGCATAGGCTGTCTAGCAGACAGTACAGGCTGTCTAGCAGACAGTACAGGCTGTCTAGCAGACAGTACAGGCTGTCTAGCAGACAGTACAGGCTGTCTAGCAGACAGTACAGGCTGTCTACACGGATGAGGCGTTTTCAGATTTTAAAGGGAAACTTTGAAAGAAGGAAGGAAGAAATTAGGCAGCCATTTAAAGGCACCAGTCATACCTGATAAAGGTTTTCTCTACACCAAGTGTTTTTTTTTTTTATGCTTGGCGGATATGTCTGACATTCTACCGTACTTAACGGAAATTCTTGTCATTTTACCGTACTTGTCAGATAAACATGCCATCCTACTGTACTTGGCAAAAATACCTGCCATCCTACCAAACTTGTCGAAAATACCTGCCATTCTACCATACTTGTCAAAAATACTTGCCATCCTACCATACTTGTCAAATATACCTGCCATCCTACCATACTTGTCAAAAATACCTGCCATCTTACCATACTTGTCAAATATAGTTGCCATTCTACCATACTTGTCAAAAATAGTTGCCATTCTACCATACTTGTCAAAAATACATTCCATTCTCCCATGTCAAAAATACTTGCTATTCTACGCAACTTGTGGGAAATTTCTGCCATTATGCCACACTCGTGGGAAATACCATTCTACATCCACTTTAAGCCATCATAGCTACAGTATGGTACAGTATGGTACAGTATGGTGTTGTGTTCACATGACCGACCTTTTGGTTTACACTTCGATAATTTGATACGATGGGATCCTCACTTTTAGGTTATGAAAATCTGTGGCAATATACCGTGTAAATTATTAATTAGGAAAGTACATACAACGAATATATGAATATTAAATTACGTAGTACATGAAGTAATGTATACAGCAGTACAGATACAGTTACAGGTAGAGGTACCGGGACAAGCACAAGTATATACAGTGGAAGACATACAGGTACACAGGTACTGATCCTCTTTGAGGTACTCAGGCAGTTGCTTTGGAAAATACATATTATACAGGCTGAGGTACATAATACAAAAAAGAGTTAACTGATACATACGTTAACATGTGGAAGCAAAATTACAGCCATAAATATGAGTACAGGTGTAGATACAGTTTACAGGTGAAGATACAGTTACAGGTGTAGATACAGTTACAGGTTACAGGTGTAGATACAGTTACAGGTTACAGGTGTAGATACAGTTACAGGTTACAGGTGTAGATACAGTTACAGGTAGTTATCTGATGCCAAGGAAGAAGCAAATGATACATCACATGTGCAAATGAAGGTACAAAAAACAGCACAGGTACAGGAATAATAACAAGAGCAGGTATATACATAGGAGTCAATTTTGCCTCTAGTCGCACTGAGTATAGATTTTTTTACTGCAAAGCGTGATGTTAGTAATGTCTGCATGGTTTGAATTGTTCAAGCTCCAAAAAGTAATGCATGTTGGACACAGCCCAATGTCCCACTGAGAGAGATCCTTTAGATCAAAAAATACATTAAATACACAAGCTGAAGCACATGTACACACATCATTTCTAGGAAACTTGCTTGCGTAAATATTTACCATACATTCCTCTTCCTACAGTGGTCGACATAATTCTACATAAAAATAGGGACTCAACGTGAAGGATAATAAAGAGACCAAGATTAGTTGTGTTGATGTCCTCGTTAAACTGGTAAAGCACAGTATCTAAACCGGAAATTGTATATATAATTTAACACTGAAAAATGACGGTCAGACATCGTGTCAAGTTACTTTGGTTCCCGACTCTGGAGCCGAACTCTTCCCCAGGTTAGGTTACTGACCACCTCTAAAGCCACTTCATTGATGGACTGATTGCGTTATTTTTACCTCGCCACTGTTTCTGCTGTCTCCATATTGAGTCACCTCTGTATTCGACTGAAGAAGTCTACCATGTAAGCATATTTACATATTCCCTCGTTTATTGTCCTACGGAAAGGTTTAATGTGCGCTACGGAAGGTTTGCAAGTGAACATGAACTCACAGGCAACAACAATCGTGGACATTCACGCGGTCAAATATCTGGAAGCTAACAGCCTATATATCAACTAGCTTTCAAGATGGTCAGTGAACAAGCTTACATGTTGGTCTACTAACAAGCTTGCATGATGGCTTGTTAACCAGCTCAAGCTTATGATTATCAACAAGTTTGCTTGATCTATCAAGAAGCTTACAGGCTGATCTTCCAATAAGCTGACATAATCTGTCTACAAGCTTACATAATGCTTCATCAACAAGTTTGCATGATGGGCTGATAATTTTATATAATGATCTACCAACAAGCTTACTTGATCTATCAGTAAACTGAAATATTGATCAGTCAACAAGCTTACATATTGATCTTTCATGAAGCTAACATCGTTATTGATCAAGAAGCACTCTACCATTAACTCACAAGTTAAAGCCAAGCTCCTCTTCCTCGATAATACTCTAAACTATTACCAAAAATCTGCTTCGCGGGTCACATTCATTACAACGCTCAAGTGTGTTGACGAACATAAGCTCATGGGGGATGTAGCAGGTAAACATAGGCACCGGATTCTAGGGGATTTGTATGTCGTCTGTGTCTCCTTTTCTTGCTACCTGTGGATGTGAGTCAGCATCTCATTTTGTGTAGATAAATGGTTCAGAGAACAGACAAGTTGATAAGTTAGACACTTCCGCAATACTTGGGGTATCTTTACTGTGGAAACGTTTCGCTAACCAGTGTCTACTTCAAACTCCTTCTAATATTCAACCATTCCTCTCTCTACTGGACTGAAAAAGCCACTGGTTGGCGAAAGGTTTCCGTAGTAGAGATACCCAAGTGTTTCACAAGTGTCTACTTTATCACTATCTCATTTTGCTTTAGCGCAGACCTGGCTGGTCACAAAGGCGCCAATGTTGCACAAAGTCCATATCGATGATGCACTTCTCTCACCCACAGTGTTAAGGGGCAGAAAAAGGGTTGACGTACTAATCTCGTGGAATCCGTAAGCATGTGAGTGTGTGACTTAATGAATGATCAACTTACGGGTCTTTACTGGACAAGTTATGCTTGACCACGCAGAGCTGCTCCAGTGTAGCTCTAGAGAAGGACGCCCAATGTAAGACACGTCTCTGAGCAGTTAAAGTTATAAGACAAATCTATGGAGAGCGCTAGTACATTATTTCAGTAGATGAGAATGAATATGATAAATATACTTCTGGATTACTGATGTTACAATTAAAATGTTGATATTAAAGAGGCATTTGAATACAAAGCCAAATGAAACGGTGGACTGAAATTTTGATATTTACAAAGGTACCAAAAAACTAGTGCCAATAATTTGAAAGCAAAAAAAGTAAATATTGTCATTACCAAAAGAGGTATGAAGAGCAATAGAAAACATCATGCAATGCAGGAGTAGGAGGAAGAGAAGGGTGAAAGTACAATAAAACAGCACCGAAACAAAGTGGGACTGTAAACATAGTCATGTGGACACTATTTGTTAGTAGAATGGCACTCCCAACTCCTGCACCACCTACACCACAGTGGTAGTACCCAGGTCAGCCAATAAGCAGCCTCTTATTTGTAATCCTGATCCATGATAGTACATGATTCAATCAGGTGGCAACCCCTTGCCTATAACCCTGCACCATGATAGTACCTGATTCAACCAGGTAGCAACCCCACTCCAGGAACCGTGCCCCATGATAGTACTCATTTAACCAGGTGGCAGCCTTCCACCCCTGTACTTCAAAGGTACACACTTTTTGAAACGAGTCCACATGACGCCGTGCTTACACAATGTTACGTTCACGAGTGTGTCAAGGAAGTAACTCACCTGTATCTCATCTCTTGTTCCAGCTCCTTCTCTAGGCGAGCCATCTCCTCCTTTTTCAGGACTCCACGACCAGACATTCGCGATTCTCTGCTTCTCCCTCTTTCTCCGCTTCCTCTCTGCCCCTCATCTCCATCCTTCCATCTTCCTGAGCCTCTTTCCCATCCTGTTCTCTTCACCTGGTCATCAGTCGTGGGACTCTCCACCCCTTCAGCAGACATCCTGCCAATTCCGCTGTCAGTGCTTCTCCTGTCTTTCTCTTTCCTCATAATCTCCTCTATTCTCTCCTCGTTATCTCTCTCTTCTTTACCTCTCAATTGCTTTTTGTCCTTGGAACCCTTGACATACCCATTGACGATCTTGCTCCTGCGGTTCAAGAGAACTGGGACATCGTTTTGTCTCTTTGCACCAAAAGTTTTGCTCTTGTTCTCCGGCTTGCGTACTTCGGGCTCTTCTGTGTGTTCTTCGGTATCATCTTCGTGGTTAAGAGACTCGCTGTCACTAGGGCTCCTCGGTACATCCCCAGCAGACATTCTAACCTCTTAGAAAGCACAATAGAAGAGCATATTGCTGTTTT